TTTTTATCTGGTTCAGAAGGCTTCCTGAAGAAACTGAAATATTGCCTTTTATGTTATTTCTGGGTGTTAATGTGGTTAGAAAAATAAAAGTGACTGAGCGTACCTCAAATCTAGTGGATTTTTCCCTTTTTAGGTGCTTCTCAGACCCCAGAGATGGGGTTCATCTGCACATTTACAAAAGAAGTTCTCTTTTCCCAGAGCTTGCTACAATTAAACTCTTTTAAAGGAGACCCTAGAATACATCTTCTCTTTATCCTAAAAGGGCAATACTTGACAACTAGGTAATTTCTTGAGTCACAATAAAATAACATTTAACCTTAAACCTTTTCTTTTCTAAAAGTATCTAGGTTGATCCTCTGCCCTTGACAGGGTTGTTTTATTCAAATTCGTCTCCCACTTTGCCTGAATTTAGTTATTTCTTAAATAGGCCCTAGTAGTTCCTGCATCCATTCTTTTCCTTCCCAAAGGTAAAGAACAATCTTCACACTTGATTGACTGTGTGAACTGCCTCATATATTCTCTAGAATACTGCAATTCCCTCATTTCTGAAACCCGAGGGGAAAATGTAAATTCAGACCACAACACATTTATGCTATCTGCTCTCTGACTAAATTTCCTTCCCACAGAATCTGTGGTAACTTAAAGATAGCCCCAAATTCTCTTCCACTGTATTTATCAGAAAAGGAACTCGATGTCCTTATTCTTTAAATGTAGGTAGATTCTGTGACTGCTTTGACTAATAGTTTACAGCAGGAGGGACACTGGGTCCATTTCTGAGTCCAGGTCTTACCAGACACAAATCCCACATCCCTTCTCTCCTAGAAGACTCACTGTTGATACCCAGAGGCACTGTGTAAAAAAGCTGATCACTCTAATAGAAATAACAAGGGAGTGGAGTAGAACTGACCTACACTGAGGACACAACTGAGCACAGCCTTCAGTCATACTTACTCAGGCTCCGAACCTATAAAGCACTATTCTACAAGGTATGCAACATGCCCACTTTTGTCACTTACCAATTGTGCAATCTGCTGAAGGTGAATTCAGGTTCAGAGAGTGTCCAAATGAGCAAGTTACCTTCAATTATAGACCATTAAAAAGAGAACAGCCATCTAGTCCAGTGGTTTTCAAGCCATGCGCCCAGAGCCCCCTCCAGGGGAGAAGGGAAAGTAAGTGGATGGAGCTCAACCTCACCTACATTCTGTGGACAGAGAAATATCCCTACTTATTTCATGCATTAGATTTACAGATAGAATTCTTTTAAAAAGTTGCTGCTAAGATGAAGTAAACAACAATAATACATCCATATATTCTAAACTAGTTCCACAATTCCTGAATTCAAAGCTGAAGAAAATGCCAGGGAAACTGACTTAACGTCTGGAACCTTCTGACCCACTCTTTCCCAATAGTCCTGCTCATCTTTCAGTTCTTACACTGACCCTTACTCACTCCAGAAAGTCTTCCTCCACATTGCATGTACATCTGTGACCACTCTTGTGTCTTTCTCGACATTTTTATCAAATAACAGCCTGCCCCATTTCATTAATTCCAAATGTACATTTATTCATATTTTTATACTTCTGAGATGAGGATACATCATATAATTACTTGATAACATCTTAAAGTTGTTGCCAGCCAGGTGGCACTCATGAAATAGTTGTGTGAAATCTTTCTGCAGGGAGCTTCAGGTATGATCAAAAAAAGCATCAAAGCATCTGAGAGTCATTGAAATGTAGGTTCATTGTAATTGTATGTTCAAATGTTTGTCTCCTCTACTGGATTAGAAGTTACAAAGATACAATGCAAATCTTTTTCATTCATTCTTTTCTTTTTTTAAAATTTATTTATTTATGCATACAAGAACTGGGGTATAGGCCAGAGGTGCGGGGTGGTGGTGGTGGTGGTGGTGAAAAGATTCACCAGAGACAGAGCAGGGAATGCAATAGGCAGATCGACTGAAATACACTGCTGAGGGGAGCAGTGGGAGACATAGGAGAGGTTTGCTGCACCATCTGGGTCACCTCCCTGCCCAGGGATTGAACTTGTGCTGCAGTACTTGCGGCTAGCTTCATAGTGCTGATGCTTAACCCCCTCTGCCACCTCTGACCCTTACTTCCTGCAGAAAACCTTCCTCCACATTGCATGTCCACATCTGTGACCATTCTTGTGTCTTTCTTAACATTTTTACCACAGGGAGGCCAGCAGGGAGGCCCTTTTTCATTCACTCTTATAGTTCCAATCCCTAACACATTATGGGTTCTTAGAGAATATTTGTGGATGTGTTAAGTAGATTTTATTTCTTGTTCCAAGAATGAGAAAATCAATAAAATGTTTAAACAGGAACAAAAATAATTTGACCTTTGTTCAACTCAGGATTGCATTTTCAGTGGTCAAAACCTTTATATAGATTACGTATAATTACTTTAAGGTTAAGTTAATATTTGACAGAGAAAATGCAAGATATGACAGAGAAACTGGCATTTTCAAACCAGCTGGTTTTGGTATCTTGAAAAATCTGATCAGTTTAAGCAAAAAGAAAGATTGAAGGAATAATTGTTGAAAGGTAACTAAATACAGAAAAAAAAAAATACTACATTTGGAATACAAGGACTAAGGATATTACCAGCAACCTCTGGAACCAGATTTGGTACATGGTGCTACTACCCAGAGTGGCGGGGCAGGAAGATCTCTCTGTGACTCTGAGAAAGCATCTTCTTTAATGAGGAGGAAAAAAAATGACAGAATTAGAAAATCACCATTTTATAGCTCATAGTTTATAAATTCATTCAGGCAAGGATCATCAGTTGTTACTAAAACCATTGCTTGTAAACCTGTTAGAGAAACCTATATCATAATTTCAGTTGTCATTCCCACAAGTTACTTAATAACTAGGAAAGAATGTATGTTACAATGGAGAGATCCGGCAGATATCACCTTAAACGGGTAATCCAATTTAGCTTCACCATTAATAAGAAAGTTGCCTCTAAACACGATCAAATAATAAGTATAAAACATTACCTGACCATATTCTAGACAAAATATTATTTTGATTTTATAGCAGACAAAATATTTAAGTAGAAAAGGGAAGAAATGCATGTTTCTTTTTTTATTGTAAAGTTTCACTAGTCACAATCATACTTTAGTAACTTTATATAATTTCTCCCTAAAGATGCATTAATATCTGAAAAGATATGTAATCCTTTTCTCTAAATTACTTTATTCATCACCATGTGAGTCTATACATTGGAAAAATGTTTGGAAAATAGCAAATGTACTTGGCACTAGATTAGCCACTCTTACTTTCATAAAAACAGATAATCAAATAATCGATATTAAATCTCTCTCTAAAATTACAGTATTTTGAAATGATAGGTGTGTTCATTGAAGATTCAGTATCTGTAGAGTTTAATAAAATAGCTTTGTTAAAGCATACATCACAATGACTAACCATGTTGCTTTCTAAAACTCTACTCACTAACCAAGGCTAGGGAAGCTAAAATAAACATAAAATGTATTTTTGAGATATCAAATAACTAACAAGACTAGAAAATTAAAACGCCAAGATCTGGGATTGGAAGAAAGCCCAGAGAGGTAAGTCTGGTATTCAAAATTGCTTTTTGCTTACAGAATACTGATGACTTGTAAAGCCTAAGAGACTGAGAATCTGAGCATACCTTTGGACAGATTCCAGGGATAATGGGGACAAAAACTGGGATTCAAGTCTTCACCTACTAGTAGAGACCTCAACAACCAACTCAACACTTGAACTTGCCTTGGATCTGTAAGTGCCACACTGTAGGAGTCAAGATGAATAAGGAATGCAAGACACTCACAGGGTCTGATGCCCAGTGAAGCATCATTTCACTCGAATGAATAAAAGTTTATCTGTAACTGATAATGCTGCTACCTTAGCTGCTTGTCAAAGCAAAAATAAACCTTCTCTGGAGAAAGATAACATCATCCATAAATTTAAAGCCCTCTATAAATTATTACATCTCTCTCACATCAATAAGTAAATATCTGAACATATGGAAAAACGAGAATTTATTATAAAGAACTAAAGTGGTGGTGGGGGAGAGGTAAGAAGACAGATTTTAGAACAAAGTTGTCAGATACAATTTAAAATAAATATTAGTACTTTTAAAAAGTAGAAGATATGTTTAAAAACTTTAATAGAATTTGAAAGCCATTAAAAAAAATCTAATGGATGGATTTAAGTATAGTAGAAAAAGCTAAAGAATTAATGAACTGAAAGGTAGCTAAAAGGTTTTTAATATATCTACATAAAATTATATAAGAACAAATGACTGATATACATATACCATGATATATACATATATATACATTACACACACACACACACATATATAACATAGACAAAAGGAAATGAGAAAAAACATGAGATACATAAGTTGTAGGAAAACAAGGTCTAACCTATGGTTACCTGTAATTCCAGAAAGAAAGGAAATAAATAATCCATGAGAAGCAATATTTTAATTTATGAAGACTAAAATTTTTCCAATGTGACAAAACATGTAAGGTTAGATTTAAGAATCCCTACAAACCTCCAGTAGGAAAAAAGTTAAAAGAAAACCAAACTTCCATCAGTATACAGCTTCTGGAAAATGCATGCAACATGAAATTCTTAAAAATAATGAGGAAAAGTCAGATTGTCTTCAAAGGAGCAACAATGAGACTGAAAACTGATTTCTCAATAAAGTCAGTGGTAACCTAGATGTCAAGGAAGCATTCCCTCAAAATTGCTTTTTAAAAAACTGGCAGTTTACAATTTTATACTCAATAAATATTTCCTTTATAAATGAAGAGGAAATAAGGACATTTCAGAGAAGCACAAACTGAGAAAAAAACTGAAAGAAACCCTTATTTGAGAAAAGCAATTCCAGATGCAAACTTGAAAATGCAAGAAACAATGGAGAGATTAAATGTATGAATATATTAAAACATTAAATAATGATGATAAAAATTAATACTTTGTGAGTTTCAATATATGCAGAATTAAAATACATGAAGACAATAGAATATAAATTATGAGTGGAATAAATGAAGCTGGAGTATTTTAAGGTCCTTGCATATTCTGAGAAGTGGCAAAAATATTAATTTAAAATAGGCATTATTAATGATTCAAGGACGCATGATGTAATCTTTAACATAACTATTAAAAGAATTGTAAGAGTACTTATAATTACATAGAAACTCCATTTCTGCATCCTTAGTTGTTAAAACTCATTGATACATATGTGAATTTTGATATCTAAATAACAAACATGATATGGGTTCCAAAATAGCTGAACTCCTGAGCTGTTAACAGAAAGGATGCTTAACAGACTTAGACTGAAATTACTGATCTTGTCCAATGGGAGATCTTTTCAGCTCAGATTCAAATTGCAAATTACTTTCCCATCACTAAATAAGCAAAATAATCCCCTCATATTGCAATGTAAAATATCTACTAAATATCTACTAAGGCGCACAGCATATTAGAATTCCCACAAACTTTTAACAACAGCTGATAAATATTTCTCTTTGCTGACACTGTAGCACATGATATAAGACTTGGGAGGCTAGCTGGAGAGAACAGGCTATTAAGCACCTCTGCAATAAATAGCAGTAAAACACAGAGGCAATAGTATTCAAAAGTAAGTTAAAAGTTGCAATCCAAGAAATGAAAAAGTTTGCCACTTCCAGGAGATAAGAATTAGCCGCAGGCATTTCGCAGAAAGTCCTGGATAGAAGCCACCTGCTTTACGGATAGTTCATAGTGTTTCTATACTTAAAATGAACTCAGTACAATAATAAAATTAAAAAAAAATTAAAATCTCTCATTTGTCTCTCAGGCACAGATTCAAGAACATAACTTTCTTAGCCCAGACAGGCAGGAGACAGGAGACATGTGGTAGACCAACACAGACGACCCTAGGGAAGAAAACAAGATCAGGGGTAAATGTACGACTTCACTTGCTTAAAAGTTACAGCAGTAACTTAAAAAGAAAGCTATGAATATTATTTTCAGATTTAGTTCATTATTTATACTTTATTATTAATGCTACAGAATATTTTAGATAATTCTCATTCCAAAATATAGACTTAGTCATTTTCAATTAATTTTTCTTTGTTCTGCTAAACCTTTTCAAGTTGAAAACTCTCCAGTATAGATGACTGGATCAATGGTACATATACACAATGGAATATTACTCAGCAATCAAAAAAGATACACTCATGCAATTTGCAGCAACATGGATGGAGCTGGAAGGGATCATGCTCAGCGAAATAAGCCAGAAGGAAAAAGAAAAATACCGGATGGTCTCACTCATAGCAGGAATCTAGAAAACCTAAATAAGGGGCCAGGAAAATGACTAATTATAATAAAGTAAAAATCAAAATCAACAAGCAACTATAAACCAGAGACACACTATAGAGGGGGAGGAGAGAGTAGGATCAAAACATGGTGGGGGGTGGTAATTATATGGGGACTATAACCAAGATGAAAATGCATACATTGTGCAAAAATGAAAAACGATGTAAAAATATATAAAATTTAAAAAATAATAATAATAAATAAATTAAAAAAACAAAACCCTCCAGTCATTGGAGTAGATAAGTATTAAGCCTAAATGGATCCATTTCATTATCTTGGTGAAGATACTGCCACCAGGAGGCAATCAAGGCAAGCAAGTAGTGACCCAATCAGACCTTTTGGGCCCCCATCTTGAGAGAGAGAACAGCAATGCACTTACAGTTTGTTCAGGTGCGTTTGAAAAGCTCTCCCATTGCACACCAGCCACTAAACTTGTAGTGCTCAACTAAGTCAATTCGCCACCAAATGCTGGTCCTGAAATTATAGATATACTACTTGTCTTCATAAGTAATTGCTGGATTGTTTTTTTTTTTTAAACTCCCTTTGAGGCCTGTTTACCACAGTGACTTTCTTTTTTTTTTTTTTTAAAGATTTATTTATTTATTTATTTATACAAGCACTGGGTACAGTCAGAATCGCGAGAGGGTGAGAGAATTCACCAGAGCCAGAGCAGGGAGCAGAGCAGGCAGAAGGACCGAAGTACACTGCTGAGGGGAGCAGCGGGCGGCAGGAGAGGTCTGCGCGCCATGTGGGACCCTCCACCAGTGGCCAGGGAGCAGCAGGGGATCGAACCAGCGCTGCAGAGGCTGCAGGCAGCTTCGCAACCCAGGGCTCAACAGCTGTGCCACCGGGGAGGCCCCACAGTGACTTTCTTATGATTCTTCTCCTTCATGCAAAATCTTCCTTCATGCAAAATCTTGGCAAGATGCTAGATTGGACTAATTTAAAAAGTTCATGGAGATGCAGGAAAGAGTAAAGAGAGAATCCAGGGTCCTCTACGTTGGCCTAAGGGTTAAGTCTCAGCACTGTCACTGCAATGGCCTGAGTTCAATCCCTGGCCTGGGTGCTAACCCACATATGGCGCAACAGACCTCACCTGTCTTGACTGCTGCTCCCCTCAGCAGTGTATTTCAGTCAATCCGCCTGTTCTTTTCCTCACTCAGTCTCTGGTGAATCCTCTCACTCCCCACACCCCTGGCCTACACCCCAGTTCTTCTAGGCAAAAACAAATAAACAAAAATCTTTATAAAAAGAGAGAGGGGAGAAAGAGAGAGAGAAAAAGAGAGAGAGAGAGAGAGAGAGAGAGAGAGAGATTCCAGACAAATTTTTACTAGGCATTTTACATGTAAGGGAGAGTTAAATCCAGTCTGTTTTACTATGATTTGACAGTGCTACACTCTTCTGCTTAAAGTCATAAAAATGTCTCCTAAAACTCATCAATACATTAATACACTTTCGCTCCCTCCCTCCCTCCACCACTGCTTCTGCTTTCCAGATACTCTTCAATTCTCTTTTAAAGAAAATAGATATTAGGTGAATGAAGCAGCTGTAAAACCACAGCATAACTGGAAAAAAAATACAGGGAAATATACAACCTGACTTCTGTCTTCTCCCATTGACAGAGTCCCACACCAAGCCGGGGCAGCGAGCCAGCTTGAGTGACACAGTTCACAGAAATTAGTTTCCCAGAGCACTGACTGGCATGGAAAAGGATGGAAAGACAAATAGAGAATATCCAGCATATTAATCTCTTCTGATTTTTTCTTATTTATCTAACATTCCTTCCCAATCTCTGGTAATTCCATTTTTTCTCTCTCAGCCTATTAAATGCAACAATGTCAGTGTCCCGTCCTACGTCCTTTTGTCTTCTCATACCACATTCTCTCCTCAGGAGAGCTCACCCACACTTATACATGCAATTAACACCTACACACCAATGGTCCACAGTTGTGTAATTCCAACCTAAATCACTTCCCTGAACTTGGGACCAGTTAAATATCTCAAGTTTAATGTCTCAAGTTCAAAATATCCACAACTGCCCTCATCATCTTCTTCTCTAGATAGAAACTGTTCCCATTCTCCCAAGGTTCTGCAGTCCCTGAAGTTGTCCTTCATACTTCATAGGTAGTAAAGAACTATGCTCAAGGAATTTGACTTGAAAAATTCTCTCAAATCTATCCTCTATTTATATCCACCACCACCTCTGTCCAAGGATCTTCATTTGCATCGGAACTATCTCCCACCTCACTCCTGCCTCCACTCTAATCTATTTTCAATGCAGTAGCCAAAGTGATCTTTAAAAATAATCATAAGTCTGGTCACTACACAACCATGCTTTAAAGTCTTCAATTATTCTTCTTAGCCTACTGATCAGAATCTTTATCAAGAGGTACAAGCCTCCTTGGCATCCTCGTCCTCTGTGTTCCTTGTCAGTTTCCTACTCTTGTCATTTTACCCTTAACTTAGTTTGTAGAAAAAGTCAAGCCTCCTCTTACCAAGTGTTGTGTAGGGGCTCCTTTGTATGAGTCACTTTCCATAGCTGCATCTCACCGCTTTGGCAACATAACTCCAACACAAACTATAAGTTTTCTGGGAGAAAATCTTTCTGTCCACCACACCCAAATGGTATGTTCTCTCACAGAACCATGTTCCCTTTCTTCAGAGAACACACTTCTTTCCTTACTTTATTTTTATTTTTTTTAAAGATTTATTTATTTATACAAGAACTGGGGTACAGGTCAGAGGCATAGAAGGGTGAGAGAATTCATAAAAGAGTGGGGAACAGAACAGGCAGGCAGATGACCAAAATACACTGCTGAGGGGAGCAGCAGGCGAGGCAGGAGAGATCTGCCACGCCATGTGAGTTTCTCCCTTGCTGGCCGGGGATCGAACTTGTGCTGCAGAGGCTGCGGACAGCTTTACAGCGCTGGGCTCAACACGCTGCACCACTGGGGAGGCCCACTTCATTCCTCATTTTAATTGTATCTGGAGTAATCATCACCAACCCTTAGTATTCTGGAAGGGTCATGCAAACAGGTCTACTTTTACTTAACCATTGCATTCACAGCACTTAGCCTTGTGTACAATATATAGTGTCTTAATTCTGGCTTCTAAAGCAGAAAAGCATATGCTAGGTGACCTGTAAAACAGCAGACATTTGTCTCTAGGAATCTGGGGGCTGGAAGTCCAAGATTAAGGGATTACAGAGCTGGTATCTAGTAAGAGTTTCTTCCTTGTCCCACAAACACATGCTACCTGTGTCTTCAGATGGTGGAAGGAGAAGGAAGTCCCCTGGAATCTTTTTTATAAAGGCAGTAAGTACATCCATGAGGGCAGAGTCTTGTGAATGACCTCCCAAAAATCTCGCTTCCAAATATCTTCACGTTGGGATTTAAGTTTCAATATATGAACCTCATAGTCTCCAATCAAAATATATGAAACTTAAGGTTTCCAATCAGAAACTAGAGAATACATAGATATTCAATCTATGGCAGTGATCAACAGATATATTGAGTAAATGAAGACATAGATAGATAAGTGGGTGAGGGGGGTGGATGAATGAATGAATGAATAAATAAAACTAAATAAAAAAATAGAAGTAGTCAATGCTAATCCTACAACTGGGAAGCACTGTAATTCCAGTTGGAAGGTCTTGGGTGGAGGTAAGAGTATAAGACTGAGACATGACATAGAAAGTAGAAACTGAATTTTAATGATATCAAGATTTGCATAAATTGGAACACCTTGTCAAACTGTCCCTTGGATGGGCTCTGCTGCATGGCATTCTGAGATTCCAGCATCCCACGTCAAAAAGAAAGCTGAGGAACCCAGGACTTGAGAAAATCTCACCTCATTTTCACCGCATAGTAATGTAAGGCCTGCTGTGCAGTGAAGACCTCAGGAATAAAGGCTAAGCAGCTTAAAATAATGCTTGGGTGCATAGAGTTGACAGAGAGGTTAACACAGAGTATGGTTCAGTTACAAAGAGCTATCCTACAGGGGTTTGCCATACCTGTCAGTCAGTAGGAAAAACTTTCCAATCAGATAACACACAAGAGCCTAGAGAGATGAAGGAGAAAGAAACTGGTCAAACCGGCTGTCTGGTCAACCTGGCTGTCTGTACATGGCTGAGTGCTCTCATTTCAGGGAAGCCATTTTGTGCATCTTAATGTTCCCCACCTCAGTGCCAGCACTCTTTTTTCTACTTCCAAAATGTTTTGCAGCTGCCATGTAAACCCAGACATAATTCAAAGTAATGAGGAAAACTATTTTTAGAAAGAAAAAACACTCTTCATCACTTAATCTAAAGTGAATAAAAATAATTAAGAAAAAGTGTTTTGGAAATGGTACAACAGCTGCTCTGTATCTGAATATAATATTATACCACCAAAGAAAGGAGGAAAAAAAAACTTCAGCTAACCACTATATCAATTGTTAACTGGAAGAACTACCAATGATATATGGAATTAGAATTTCTTAAATGCTACGCTATTCTCCAACATCAGATAAATTGTATTTCATCTATCGTCAGAAAATATCCATCTCAGACTCTGTGGAAAGTTGGGTTTTGTTTATTTGTTGTTTGTTTAACTTTTAGAGCTTTTCTCCATTTTTTAATGTATGTGGTATTTCCACTTTATACAACCTTTTACAGTTATTTAGAGAGCCTGACTAGTCTCACACAGCATGCATACAAAGAGTGAAAAAAGAAAGAACAGACTCAGAATTGCCTTCATTGGTAGGCAAGATAATGCCAAGGCTTAGACTTGACTTTGGAGTTTTCCAAACTTGTCTTTGTTTCCAATGGCAACTATAAAATACAACCAGCAGTGATTCACATTTAGATTGCTTTTGTCAGTAGGTTGCATAATTAGATTGAATGTGCTTAATCTCTCTTAGAGCAAAAACATGGAAAGATTTCACTTGATGAAAAAAAGAAAAACACAGTGGAACATTTCTAAAGCTGAAGTGTTTGTGGATTTCTAACACCAATACACAATATTCTTTGCCGACTTGGTTTCAGAGGCTGCACGTTGGAACTGCTCCATTTGGTGGTGAGGTTTACAGAAAATTTGTTGTGGTTGCATCTCACAATCAGAGCCAGAATGAAAAAAAGGCTGTGGCATAATATCTGTCATCAGAGGGCTAGGGAAAGAAAACCTGCTATCCCTTTTAGCAAACCTTTTTGAGGAGCCGATGCCAAGCCCCTGTGTTTGTCCTGATGGGGGAGATATGAACCAGACAAAGTCCTGCCTCCATTAGTTTGCAATCTGTTATGGAGAATTTTACTGTTAAAAATAATAAATAATAGAGCAGTGATTTCAGGCTTTTTTTTTTTTTTTTTTTTTGCATGTCTCAAGAGTGTCAAATTTGCTGGTGCTCACAGGGTCAGAGAAGATGTCCTGGGAGAAAATGTCCAGCTGAGCTTTAAAAGAAATGGACATATGTGCAAAAGCAAAAAGTATAAAATGCCATGCAGTTCCTGCCTTAGGCTAAAATGCCATTAAAGTATTAAACAAAGTTCCCCATTCTGAAAATATGAGCACCCTTTCTGGGTGTCTTAAACTCAGATTTATCTCCAAGTACTTTCTGATCTTCCTTTCTTCCTCCTTCCCTCCCTACCCACCCTCCTTTCCTTTCTTCTTATTATCAAGCAAGTTTAAATACCAGAATTGATTCTAGCAGAAAAATCTCTGGAAACCACCTAAATTAATATGGAGAATTCCTTCAAGACAAGACTAGTAGAGATTAATTTTGTTTTCTCTTAAATTTCAGTTTCATAGGCATCTTTTTGTTTAAAATCCTAGGTATTAGATCAGATTCACAAACACAAGTTTTAAAAGCTTCACTTTTCAAATTTTCATCTATTTCCACCATTCCAACATCAGAAATGTTCCCTCTTTTACATACATAATGTGTAGTTACCTCCCACCATTTACCAGTTCTGCCAAGAAACTAATAAGCCCTTATTGTCTTCAGATTGTTTCTTACCAACACATAGCCTTTACACACACACACACAGTCATCATTTGAGGCAGAATAAAATTTTGTCCCCAGATAACTCCTCATTGAAATGAAACTAAGCTCTAAAAGCTGAAAGAAAATGCATTATCAAGAGGGAATGGGGGGAGAGGGGGCTCCCTGGTGGCGCAAGGGGTTAAGCACTGCACTATGAAGCAATCCCCAGCCTTTGCAGCATGAATTCAATCCCTGGCCAGGGAGCTACCCACGTGGCACAGCGGACCTCTCCTGTCTTGCCTGCTGCTCCCCTCAGCAGTGTATTTCAGTCAGTCTGCTTGTTCTGTTCCCCGCTCTGTCTCTGGTGAATCCTCTCACCCCCCACACCTCTGGCCTGTACCCCAACTCTTGTATGTATAAATAAATAAATCTTTAAAAAAAATGAGGGAATGGGTGCTAATTTTACACACCAGCTCAGACTTACAAAATCAACACTTGATGACTCTCTCTATATATATATATGTGTGTGTGTGTGTGTGTATGTGTGAGAGAGAGAGAAATGTATAAATCACTAAAATTTATTTTGTATGTGTATAATAATGAGTTTTAAATGCTGTTTTCTCTTTTATTTCTTAGACTTAGATTTAGAAAATTGAAACAAGTATTTCTTAAACCAGTGAATCAAGTTTGAAGGAAATGAATATCTTTGACTTTTCATAATTTTTGGAAGATATTTATAATAGAAATGTGAAGAAGATAACCCATTTCATTTTTCCTTCCCTCTTAGCTAATCATTGTCTTTTTGTCTAAAGGAGTGTGTGCTTGGTTAAACTGTAAAATGTGTAAGTTTGGGGGGATACTTAGCACAATCCATAGAAGAATGTACCCAGGAAGATTTGTTCATTCTTTGTCAACCAGAGAGTGAACTGTATACAAAGCTACACTAAGAATAGCTAACATTGCAAATACAATGTGATTTAAGGTCTTAACACATTTAAATTCTCACAACAGGGCCTCCCCGGTGGCACAGCGGTTGAGCGCTGGGTTGCGAAGCTGCCCACAGCCTCTGCAGCGCCGGTTCGATCCCCGGCCTCTGGCGAGGGTCCCACATGATGCTCAGACCTCTCTTGCCGCCCACTGCTCCCCTCAGCAGTGTACTTTGTCAGTCTGCCTGTTCTGTTCCCCACTCTGGCTCTGGTGAATTCTCTCACCTTCCTGCGCTTCTGACTGTACCCAGCGCTTATATAAATAAATAAATAAATAAATCTTTAAAAAAATAATAAATTCTCACAACAATTTTATGAAGTATTATCCTAATTTTATGAATGGGGATTACATAACACAAAAAGATTAAGTAATTTTCCCAAATGACTATTTTACATATTCTTATCTATCTAGAAGATTTTCTCAGTTTAGAAAAAAATGGTTGTCATTTACTTCTCATGAGATATACAAAATACTTTCTGTTGTTACTAATACCCATGGTCCTAAGCTACAGGAGACTGATGATATTGTTGGTGAGAAAGTGGAAAAATTGGAATTTCCATATGCAGCAGGTAGGAATATAAAGTAGTAAAACCACTTTGGACAAGTAATTTCATCTGATCAAGTATTTGTCACATTATAAGTAAACTGATAGATTATTTTGATTGTTTTGATTTTCAGTCATTTGGTTTGTAGGTAATATTCCAATGCCTCCTTTGAGACACCAAATTCACTCCTGCTGGCATCCCAGAAAAACGAGTCTTTAACCACCTTATTGTTTACAGTTAAATTTACTCTTTTTTTTTAAAGATTTATTTATTTATACAAGAACTGGAGTACAGACCAGATGCGCAGGAGGGTGAGAGAATTCACCAGAGACAGAGCGGGGAGCAGAACAGGCAGACTGACGAAAAATACTGTTGAAGGGAGCAGCGGGCGAGACAGGAGAGGTCTGCTTTGCCATGTGGGATTCTTGCCACCCTGCCAGCATCAAACCCGCGCCACAGAGGCCACGGACAGCTTTACAACGCGGGCGCTCAACAGCCTGCGCCACTAGGGAGGCCCAAATTTACTTTCTTGATCCAACTATTTTTCCAATCCCCCTGCTCTCAACTCATAATTAATTTCCTGTTTACAACCTGAAGCTCCTCTCATCCTGGTGCTCAACCCCAATATGACCTTCCCTTTCCTTTTTAATTATTGCTTGTACCCTTGCTCCAATTCACCAGCCTCATTTGTTCCAGGTAAACATTTCTCCTCTGCCCCTATCTTGCCACAGCTCAGCCATGAGCAGTGTTTACCTGTATCAATGTGTTCTTTGCAGTGGGGCTAAAATATCAGGTTGTAAAACCATGGCTCCAGATCTACCTTCTCAGAATTCCATTGCCAGAAAGACAGTTGCCTCTCACAGGGATTTCTTGGCAGTACTTTCCAGTAACAAGAATAACTGCCAGTCATAGGAGAACTGGATACGCAACCTATTTTTTAGGTCTAGAATAATCCCTGGCCAACACAAGCTATTAAAAAGTTTGTTAGATTATATTAACACCACAGTTTCTCATCAGAATCATGTATAAATCATTTTTTCATGCTTTCTCAACACTTGTTTTATATGGAGTATTTAATATAAACACAAATCATCCCAGGCTATTTTTCAATTTGACATGTGTTATGAAAATATAAAGTAGAAAATCAAGCAGTAAATAAACACAGTTTTATAGGAGCAGACTGAGAAAAGTATAGATTTTCTACTTAACAAAATAAAGGAAATAATAAAAAACCTTTATTAAATAGGTAAAAATGTTGTCAAACTAATTCTTAAATTTGTTTCTAGTAGTTGAAGCAAAAAAAGAAGGAAAAGCAGGAGTATTTAAGATGTCATGGTGAGGTACTATTCAATTAAGATAATAAATATGTGGTAAAACAACGTTTAAAGAAATATTTAGAATACACAAAAAGCCAAGGACACATAGTTATTACAAAGCTTCTCTTAATGGATTTCCCTTGCCTTGGCCCCTGAGTTCTCTGATGTCCTAAATAAATTTGTATATAAACCCACCCCTTCAATGTGCCAGACACAGGATCTTCTGAAGAGAACTGCTGTCCAGTAGACCACCCATGGTGTGTCATTTTTTTATTCTATTCTTACAGCAGGGATAGAAATTTATATTCTTCTCAACTGTTACTTTTCCATTAATATAAGTAAAATATGTGTGTTTCATTTCAGGGTTTTTAGCCTCCTAGAAACTAGTGGTTACTGTATGTCAACCCACTATATGGCACATTGTGTGTGTGTATATGTGTATATACATATTTATATTTTATATATTTATATATATCTTTTATATGATATATATGTTTATATATGATAAGTATATTGGTCAATAAATTTTGGTTGTGAGAGAAATCCAATTCAATCTAGAATATGCAAAGAAAAAATGGTGATGTACTTGGTGCAGCAGACCTCTCCTGTCTTACCTGCTCATTGTAGTAGTTGGAAGGGAAACATGACTGCAGACAACTCCAGGTTTATATCATTCTAGTAAGTTAAATCAGAGGAAAGAGACACCTTTTCCTTGTTCATATAGAAAATTCTAGGTCAATGAGATGGAATCCAGTAGTTCTTGATTGTCAGACACACCAGAAATGTGTGGAATGGAGGAGTATCAGTTCACCAAATGAAGGGATGATTCTTGACCTAAAGAAATAGGTAAGATATGTTGACTAGGCAAAAATAGATATCTTGACTACCAGTGTGGCAGATACTACTGGTATCCACCCCACATCTTCTTGGTCTGCCTCTAAGTTCACCTGTAGCTGTGGAAGATGGTTTCTGGCACACTGGAAATTCCCCATCTCAAGTTCCTGGCTATCCCTATTTCTCTGCTTGAGGGCTTTCTCTACACCGTAGGATCACGTGTCACCACAGACAAGCACAACACAAGAAGAATTGGCAAATTAACCTATAGAATGGAGTGTGGAAGTTTCCTCTTTGTCCAAGAGAAAAATTCTGAGGCATGTCCCACATAGTTTCTCAAACCATCTGTAATGGAATTGGACTCCTGTTGCTTACAATGGTAGCTTCTTCTTTTTTCTTCTCACTTCCCTACTTTCTTGTCTGATTGCCTGAGTTTACAACACAAATGAACTACCTCCACCCTAGTCCTTATCTCAAGGTCAGTTAGGGGGAAGACACTTGGGTTATCTATTCAGTTTCCTCAATAATTATAAACAATAATTATACTAGGCACTGGAATATAACAATAAACAAGAGAAGTATAGTAGCTCTTAGAAAAGATAGCAAAGAAACTTAACCTCTAATTTTAATTGCCATATTTTTTCATGTGCATTCTTGGTGTCAGTTAAAATAAAGAGAATGATTTGTCTTTAGAGATTGGTTATGAAATTCATTTATATTAATTAAAATGTATTTATATGCATTTATATTTTTCTTTTTCCTTTGATCTACATTATAAAGCTAGAGATTAAGTACCACTCAAACATTTTATCCCCAATTCCAAGAATAAGTCAAATTGAGGAATTCTGTAAATGGACTTAAGTCCATCCTGTTTGTTATGCCTTGTTCTTCCTATCAACTGTGTTTCCCACCTGAGGTTCAACTTTCACTTTAAATTCTAGAACTTATTGTAATCTTCAGCAAACAAAATTTAAATAATTCTTCCCCAATATTTTAGAATACAAAATCAGGTCACCTCTAACCTCACATCACCCAAATCATGACAAGACTTTTCTCTTATTCCTAAGACTTATGTGTCTACCTTGAAACTTAGCACTTAGAACTGGGTTTCATTGTTATCCTGTTTAGCAGCTAAAGTACCAAGTGCTTTCAATCACAAGTGACAGGAATACATAAGGGAAATGGTCATTGGGCATCACATTGTCATTGGGCATCACAAGACCCCAAGTTTCACTGTATTTGCGGCATTGTCTTCATTACCCTGCCACTTTCCAGTTTGCTCATCTCCTTGTATCAACTTTTTCCTCAATGTGACCCCCTTTGTGATAGCAGAACTGGCTGCTGTAGTAACAAAAAGACAAGAGAACATTTGTATTTTAACAGTCTTGTAAAATCCTGGCATTTGCTATGATTGATCCAGCTTGGGTCATCAATAACACGCTGCTTGGTAAAGGCATTTAGGACTCATCCTGGTTGCTAGCTGGGGATACTGCATGCTCACTATCTGGCTGTCTTCCCAAATGAGACTTGTGATAGGGCAAAGGGAAGGGAGTGCGCGCACTGGAGACAGTAGCCTCTACACCTATATCATGGTTATGTGACTCTGCATTTCTGCCTTGATTCCTTGACTTTAGTCTTTTTATCTTAAGTTATCTATTTCCTTACCCAAGCTATTTAGCATTCAGTCTTGTGTTGTTCTTTCCAAGTCCCCAGCTAGGAATCTGGGAACCAGGTCTAATTCACTAATTCCACTAAGTTTGAATGCCTGTGTTTCTGACCCTCAAGTATCAGCTCATTTCTTCTTACTGTGCCCCATGAATCTCCCAGGAAGTTGTTTTGGAACCCCAACACTTCATTCTTCTTATTCCATATGGTTTTGGCCACCCTAACTTATTGATTGTTGCCACTCAACATCGGTCACCAGATAATTCCTAGAGCAAGTGCCACGTCTGTCTCCAACTCCACGCTCTACTCTACCTGTCATAGTTTGTCAAAGTGCTGCTGGATCAGACCCAAATTATAAGTAAATTAATTAATCAATTTAAAATCTTTTAAATTTACATTTATTAGAAGTATACACTATTAGAAGAAAGGAAACTCTCATAAAAATATAGATGAGATTATTTTTATTGAATATTAAATATTGAATATTATTATTATTCAAAATAATTTACAGATATTATTTTGAGAAACATTGGTTTAGACTTTCAGGAAAGAACAGTGGGAATTCTTTAAGAGAAGTAATTTTCTCATTCACTAATGAAATTTTAAGCAAAGTATTTTCAAATAAAGATATTTATGGTAGTTATACTGAATGCCAATGAATAACCTTTCAGGCTTCTTCCAAATAAGACAGGGTTTAGAAGAGGTTTAAATAATTTGCACATGGCTCATCTGTTTATTTAAGTTCATACCTCTAAAGCTTTTGAGAACAGCTTGTTCTTTTTTTTTTATCATCTTACACATCTCTTCTGCAGACTCATTTATAACACTAAGCTGCTTTAAAATTCTTTCACCCTCTTTCAAATGGTTCAAATAACTGTACCCCATGCCCCATCTGGTTTATTGTAAAGTATGAACTAGCCAAAGCCATAATTACTAACATTTTACAAAACAGGAACTAGTCCTCAGTTCGAGAATTCCGTTAATGGCTAAAACACATTATACAGTTTTCCCTGTCCTGAAAGTTGTGTCTCCAATATCTTCTAAAATGTGGCTTTCACATTTTTATTGATAAGAAGAAAAATAACACAAGTCAAAATAATGTGAAATAGTAATTGAATCAAAGCAACATGATGGTTCCATTGGGAGGGCCTCCATGTTGTTCACATTAACATTAGATAAAATGGCAATTAAACTAATTTAGCAAGTTTGGTCTAACTTATTTTATTTTTGAGTAGTTTTTTTTTTTTTTTAAGATTTATTTATTTAGGGCCTCCCCTGGTGGTGCAGCAGTTGATCGCTGGGCTGCAAAGCTGCCTGCAGCCTCTGTAGCACCGGTTCAATCCCTTGCCGACAGTGAGGGTCCCACATGGCGCGCAGACCTCTCCTGCCGCCCGCTGCTCCCCTCAGGAGTATATTTTGTCGGTCTGCCTGTTCTATTCCCTGCTCTGGCTCTGGTGAATTCTCTCACCCTCCCGTGCTTCTGACTGTACCCAGTGCTTGTATAAATAAATAAATAAATAAATCTTGAAAAAAAAAAAGATTCATTTATGCATATAAGAGCTGGGATACAGGCCAGACAAGTGGGGGCTGAGAGGATTCACCAGACAGAGTGGGGAAGAGAACAGGCTGACTGACTGAAATACACCGCTGGGGGGAGCAGCGGGCGAGACAGGAGAGGTCTGCTTCACCATGTGGTCTTTCCCTGGCCAGCTGGGGATCGAAATTGTACTGCAGAAGCTGCAGATCGCTTCATAGTGCGGTGCCAAACTCCTTGTGCCACCAGGGAGGCCTGAGTAGGTTTGTTTTTAACAGGATATATCTATCAAGAACAAGTACTGCCTTTCTCATAAAAATAGAAAAAGAAAATTTTAGATTTCAAAAAGATGTGAAAGATCTTCAAATACAACTGTACATCTCAAAGATTCTCAAGGGTCTTTCTAAAATATTTAATTATTTCAGTGCAGAAATATGCATATAAAAGTTGTCTAGTGTCTCCTAAATATAACATCTATGGGGCCTCCCTGGTGGCGCAAGGGGTTGGGATGCAACCTATGAAGCCAACCTCAGCCACTGCAACAGGAGTTCAATCCCCAGCCAGGAGCTACCCACATAGTACAGCAGACCTCCCCTAACTCACCCGCTGCCCCCTCAGCACTGTGTTTCAGTCAATCTGTCTTTTTTGTTCCCCACTCTGTCTCTAGTGAAACCTGTCACCACCCCCCGTACATCTGGCCTGTAACCCAGCTCTTGTATGCATAAAAATAAAATAAATATTTTAAAAAAGATAACATTGATGTCTGTTACTAAATATCTATATATATAGATATAGATATAGATAGATAGATAGATAGATAGATAGATAGATAGATAGATAGATAGATAGATAGATAGTCTTATCTGATGGCCAGATAAAAACCAGCCACATTTTCAAGTCTGAGAAGCAAAGCAAAGAAAAAAGTAATGTCAACTCCCATGTTTACTGAACAGGTACTCCACAATTTTGAAATAAATTTTCCATTCAGATGAAGTAGTCATTTTCTAAGGAGATAAATATTTCTGTCTGGCAAATAAGCTTTCTCTGCTTCCCAAGTAATTTCACTCTTAAGAGGAAATATCAATGCATGTATTGTCTTTTATAACATGAAGCTAAATAAGGTACAGAATTATGTACTCCTTTAAATTTCAATATTTGCGTTAGCTGTTCTAAATAAGAGTTAATGCAAATATTGAATAAAAAAAAATGGCTGACTTTAAGATTTTTTCAATTACTATTTAGCAATGCTGTGTTACCTCCACCAAAAAGTCTCATTGGACGTAACTCATTTACTTCGTTGCCTTACCTCTGTACTCTTATAATATCTTGGCCATATCTTTGTGATTGCATTGATCATACTGTCTTATAAGCATATGTTTATGTGTTTATCTCCCACCCAAACTGTAAGAGAGGAATCGTTTTACTGATATCTGTGCCAGTGAGTATGACTGAGTGTACGCTTCCTGTACTCTTCAAAGTAAGATACGCTTCCTGTACTCTTCAAAGTCACAGCATTTAAATCTGGCTTCTGTGCCCTCCCCACATTTCAGCTTTTCATAGAGACTATGAAAAACAACCAAGGCTTACAAAGAAGTCTTTAGGTTGTCTTCTTCATCTCACATCATATTTTAGAAAAATTTGAGCCAACATTTTAAATGTGGGTGACTTGATATAAATATCAGGATTTCAGCTACTCTTCAAAAGGTGGAAGGTCTAGCAACACTTGGCTTGATTTTTTTTAAATCCTTATTTATTTACTTTTTAAAAGATTTATTTATTTATACAAGAATTGGGGTACAGGTCAGAGGCGTGGGAGGGTGAGAGAATTCACCAAAGTCAAAGTGGGGAGCAGAACAGGCAGATGGATGGAGGAAAACACTGCTGAGGGGAGCAGCAGGCGAGGCAGGAGAGGTCTACTGCGCCATATGGGTTTCTCTCTGGCTGGCCAGGAATCGAACCTACGCTGCAGAGGCTGCGAACAGCTTCACAGTGCTGCACTCAACCCACTGCGCCACCGGGAAGGCCCATTGGCTTGATTTCTTCTGAAGTATTACTCAACTGTTGTCAGCTATGGTTATTTCTGCACAACATATAGACTCTGCAGTCTACCTCAGTCCCTAGTGTTCCTAATTACTCCCTGATGCCAAGGCTAAGAATCAGCTGCCATTTATATTTGCACTGATATTCTTTGAGTGTAGAAATCTCTTTCTACAAAACAAAAGATAGAAAAATCAAAGATAAATTTAGATAATCAAATGATATTAAAAAATGTATCAATCTGTTTAATTTATCTGCTTATCTTGATCTGTCTTGCTAGTCTTCTGATTAGTTCACTTAATATACTCAAATGTGTGCTCCTGGATCTAACTGGTCTTCCCCATTTTGATGTATCCTATGCACATTGATGGTATCATTACTCTTTACTAACCTCTTTAATATAGTAATAAAAGTAGTAGTAGTAACAGTCATTAAGATCTACTAAATGCTGGTTCTAACTAGTTTTCCTATACTGTCTAGTGTACTTTACATGCATTAACATTTAAATCTTTATGTGAAAGATTTGAAATAGGTGCCGTTATCATTAACTCTGCGTGAATTCTATACAGTTTCATGTAGACAAACAGCACCGCACAGCACCTCACAAACTCAACAGCACCTCACTGCAGGTCTGCACCATGCACCTCTCTTCCCTTGCAGAGGTTTCCCTGTGGCTGCTGATATGACAGGTCCTTATGCAACTATGTGTTGCATCATGGAGGAACAAAGAACCAATGATCCATCTTCCAATCAGGCAAAATTTTGACCTTAGGAGATAAGAGTTGGTGGATTAATTCCTCCCCTCAGAGACCAGAGAAACAATTTGTACTTCATATCAAGTAACAACCAAATCAGTTACATATCTCTATTGTGTCCAGAAGGGATTCTAACTGACTTGGTTTATGATGGATCAGCAAGGAAGGGAGGGAATGAAAGTTATAGAGCAACAAAATGAATTGGAAACTTTATAAGACAGTATTCTACTGCTATATGGTCCCTAAGACTCAATCCCAATGTTGCTTCCTGATTAATATCCTCTGATCCCAACAGCAGCATGTGGTAATTTAAAAAGCCCCATGCATCCAGCACAAAGAAAATCAAACTTTCACAAACTCTGAATTCTTCATATCTGTCAGATAGGTATAATAATGTCCATCTTTGTGAGAAAAATCAGTTTTGAAATGCCTAGCATGTAATAGAACTGGGGTGTAGGCCAGATGTAGGCGGGGGTGTGAGAGGATTCACTAGAGACAGAGTGGGGAGTAGAACAGGAGGATCTATTGAAATACACTGCTGAGGGGAGCAAAGGGGCTGAGAGACAGGAGGGGTCTCCTTCTCCATGTGGGTTAGCTCCCTGGCTGGGGATGGAATTCGCATTGCAAATAGCTTCATAGTGCTGAGACTTTACCCCTTGCACCACCAGGGAGGCCCACATAATAGATTTTCAACACATTCCATCTGCAAAAAGTAATACCCCCCTAAAGATTTACACAATTTAAGGTATCTTTATATCACTCTATATCTGATTTTCATTTGTGGAATTTTGCCACTTTTTGGAAATGATTAGTTCTTCCCCAGACTCAGGAAATGTAAACTTTTCCCCAATTTTTATAAGGAAAAACTTTTTCTTCCTCTCTCAAATGTACCAAATGCATCATATTGTAAATAGTGTTGGAAGGGCTAAAATAGTTGGAAGGGTAAATAGTGTTGGAAGGGTCTTACTGAAAAACAGCAAGACCATATCTGCCCTCAAAGAATTGAATATTAAATTGTTGATGTCATTACTTAACTTTCAGATGAGTGTTTCTATATAGTTAATTCCACATGGTCCTCATATGACAAAAAATAAACATCATTAAAGTTGGCTCCTTCCCTCATCCATGTTGCCTTCATTTCCACACCCATGATGCAAGAAGAAATTGCTCATGTGTGTTTGATTACATGAAAACGGCTGATGTATTTCCTCTTATTAATTGCAGTGAGTCTACAATTTATAAACTATTTTCTTTTCCACCCCAATTGCCATTTCTCAAAACACTAGTTATATATGCTTGACCGAACACAGCACAGAAAATGTCTGAGATATATAAGTATGGGATTTTGGTCACGTTAATTTTCAGGGTTTTATATGTGAAATGTCTTATTGCTCAAAATTAAAGCTTTGTTTATAGGAATGATTTTAAAAACTCATTTTAAGTAAAGAATGACAAACTAAAGGAAACAGGTGATTTTGTTACAGCCAGTTTCACCCTTTAAGGCTTTAGCTATGTTGACCTTTCGCTATTGAAATGTATCCACTGCAATTTAGCGAGTTCTGTGTGGCTGAAGCTCTGGATGAAATACCGACTACCATCCACATGGAATACCTGAAACCAATGAGCCTCACTTCCCTCACAAAATGCAGAGTCTTCTCGAAGCTAGAAATACCAGGCCATCCTCTGATTCTCTCCTTTCTTCTATCAAAGCAGTCCTTTATTATTTGCAATAAACAGGGCCATTTCAAACACTCGGCCTAGACATCAATGGTGTTCCCTGGATCTCTGTCAGCCACAGACAATGCCTGCTAGAAACACACACCTACAGAGCTGAAGGACACCATGGAGGGTGAGAAGTCCAGGGCCTTCTCTTTGCAGATGAGGACAAAGCTCTGCCAAGACGAACACTGAAATGAGTTGAGGGACACACCCATGTGTAAATCCAAATTAGCGAAGGGCCTAATGAATGATCACATAACCAGTTTTAGGAAAATGACCTATTCTAAGATCCATCAATATTCTATTCACTATCACTCCCAGACCAAGGCCAAAGGAAATGAAGGAAACATATCTTGGGGTCTTGGTCTCGCTTTTCCCTGAGTGTTTTCACACAGCCCACACCTACACAGGCCTGCTTCCCAGGTAGTATACAGACACTCACATTCTTTTTTTTTCTACCATCAAAATAGCTTTCCTCTCTAGTCTTTCTACCCTCTAAATCAACCCTGCCATCACTGTACATCATAGATTTCATCCCTGCGGCAGGCTTTGCTTATTAAAACACCAGTGTGTCAGCCCAAGGATTGACTCTAATGAAGGCACCAGGATGAGATGGGGTCAGGGATTGGCAGCAGCTTAAAACGTCTGTAAAATGAATTGCAGTGGTAACTGCTCCAGAATTTTTCAGTTTGAGGTAGTCAGCAGTCATTCCTGTTGAGAGGGGAACCAAGGTACTTCATGGGAGGCCACATTTGCCTAGCAAGCCCCCTGTTTTTACATAGATTTGACAAGAAACATACTTGGGATAACTTTGGGGACAATGATGGAAATCAAACCAACTCACCTTTTGATTACAGGACTTCTCCAGACCGGTAGTATTTGGTCAAAGGAGCCGATCCAAAATCATATCCACTTTCTCACAAATTTCTGCCTTCCCACTACTGGTCATGGTTGTCTTAACCTTTTCCTGAAGTAAAAAATAGGCAGCATAAGTCCTAAGTATGGCCCTAAAACACTCTATATACTTTTAACAGCAGTTTTAACAGAAGTAAAGAACAGGGCCAGTTTCTGCTGAGCTGGCTTAGTCATTTTCCATCTTATGAATTGATTAGAAAAACAGAAATTTAATATTATAACTTACATGTGTTTTACACTCTTTGGAAGGAAAACGTAAAAGACTTCGCTTAATGTATCAGACTAAAGGACTGTCATCAGCCCAGGATGCTGCATGTGCAGCCTGAATATGGTCCACAGTATCAGGTAATCAGGGTGATATTTTGGGGCTGTAGATCAACCCCACTTTGGAGGAGTTAACCATTCACCTCACACCAGTCAAATGAAATGCCAATCATGATCAGCAAGCCTCAGACTGGAGCAAATTACAAACTTTTTGAGCCTACAGTGAACCTTAATCACATTGTTTTCTTCTCTGTCTGCCAGCCACATCCCAAAACAAAACAGGTGTTTCGTAAATGTATCCTAATGGAAAAACAGAGCTCTGAACTTACTTTACTATCAACTTTTGCAAAAACATCTTAATGGCTAGACCACTTCTCTAATGCATATATTAATGAGACCAACTATCCTTTCCTTTTATATATATATATATATATATATATGTATATATATATATATATATATGCTCCATTTACCTCTTATTAATTATGTAATTTTCAATAATTGTTTTTCTCACAAAAGGAATAAAAATGAAAGGAGAAATAAAAATTATGATTATCAAAGAAGAAAATACATACATTTTAGGAAAAAAAATAGGCCAGTATGGTTTCATATTTAAACTTTTCATATGTCTCTTCAGGAGGCTTACCCAGGTTTTATTTATTAAAATCTATTATGTATTTATTATATATTTCAGATATCCATAGCTAATAAGCCAGCAGTTTAAATTAGTCATTAAACCCTCCCTGGTAGCTCTACTGCCCAGTGGCATTCTGGATAATCTTGTAAAATCAGGTTGTTCACTGTCGTTTGCAAATTTGATTGATAGATGTGCAGCAATGTCAGACTTCCTGTCTGCTGTCCAAATCCTGAGTTTGCACTCATGTCTTCTTAGCAGAAGAAAGGGGCTAACCTATGTCTGGCTTTACTATGCCACCTTCCTCTAACCCCGAGCCATCATGTTGGTTTTTCTTCTCTTCCCTTTTTCAAAGTCATTCTCATTCCAGCTCTCATGCTTCATTTTCACAAGGACTATCTTGGGACTCTTCTTCTGGTGGCTTAGAGGTTGGGGAATCACAGTCGCAAGGAATGATTTGCACTTCTCTTCCTAGAGTAGCAGGGTCTCTTGACCAGCTTCATCCCCTCTGTGGCCATGGTGGGACACTTACTATCCTCACACACTTAGAATCAAAAAGCCTTTCTCCCAAATTTGCTGACCTTCCCACTGCAGTGCATAATGGTTAGAAACATTATCTCTGGAGAGAGACTACTGAACGCAAATCCTAGGTCTACTACTTAGCCACCACATAACCTTGGACAAATGAACCTCTCAAGTCCTCTGTTTCTCACTAGTCATATGGGCACAATGGTAAGAATAATACTGATGTCAAAGGGTTGTCTGAAGATTAAATGAGATTATACATGTAAAGCACTTAGAAAACCATGGACAAAATATACTCCTACTAAACATTTCTATTACTGCTACCATCTCCCCCCATTTTAAGTAGTGTAGATGAGAGATAAAGATTCACACAATTTATAAATAGAAGAAACTAGAAAATCAACTAATCTAGGGCTAAAAATATTCAAATACCTACAGAGCCCAGACAGGCAATGTGGTTGATATGATTAAAGTAAACTTGAGAATGAAAGGACAGAAAGGACTAGCTAGAATGGAATTTGCTTCTCTCAGAGTGAAACATACTATTGTTCTGTGAAATCAGAAAGCTGGTGTGACCGGATCTTCCAGTTTTTCAAGAAAAACAAGAAATTCTGATTTGTATGTAATTCTAATGTTCAGATGTTGACAGCTCATTCAAATTTTTATAAAATGCTTTGCTGATTTCTTTTCTTAAAAAAAAATCACAAAAGCATAGTAGTTTCTACTTTAGAGGCTTTAGTCTAATTGCATTTCATTTGAAACTGAGAAAACAGGATTAAGAAGAAAAGTGCCACACCAAATGTACACACAACTGACAAAACTCTGGCAAAGCTCTTATCTCCCAAGCCTACTGCACAGCCTTTGACATTCTTCCCAGTGGTGTCTTTTCCCTCTTTATTGCTAACATGTCACTAAATGCTATTATTCTCTACTGTCTGCCCCGTTCTCATGGCCTCTGTGCTACATGCGCTGTTGCCCTATAATCTCCTCAGTAGAGTATCTCCTAATCTGACCAACCCTGCTTGTTTGCTCTAACCACACTGACCTTAATATCTGATCATACTTCTGCTCCAAGTCCTTCCAAAATTCTTTATCACCCTCTGCATCAGAACCAAGTGCATGGGCTTATCATTCCCTCATCTAGCCTCAAACTGATTTTCTTTGACTGGGTTCTGTGTAAACAAGTTGTGCCACCTTGGCTGAGTTAGTCACTTCACCTCAGCATTCTTCAGAGCAAGATAAAAATAATGGGAGACTATATAACACCACCGTGCTGTTCAAGATATAAAATGAGTTTACACATAGAAAATGCTTTCTGTATAGCATGCACTCTAAAATGCTGATTACTTATTAATGTATCTGTGTTACCTCTCCTATCATATACTAAGTGTCTGTAGGAAAAAAATGTATGCCTGTCTAATCAGCATATGTTTTTCCACCCAAATATTAGCCACATATTATTTACACACTAGATATTTCTTCACTAAAAGACTGAATAAATTAATGAGTAAATGAAGAATCTGTATAACCAGGTAAATGTGGCCATGGATCAGAAATGGAGCAAAAATATAAAGTATCGAGTGAATTCAAGGTTTCCAAGGACAGAAGCCAGGAGTGGCTATAGAGTTATCCCCCTCCAGGTAATAGTGACTTAAAAAGCTGCATGTGAGTGATGAATTGAGGGTACAACAACTAAAGTTGTGTTCACTAGATGAAGAAGTGTCATGGATGGGGTCCCCTGACTTATTACCAACAACAGAGCAATGTGGTTGAATCTCAAGTGTTTTTTTTCCCCTCGTAGAATTTTTAAACTGTCTATGTCTATTATTTATTAATATATAACAATTTACTTCCTATTAGCAGCTTAAAACAAAAAACATTTATTATCTGACATGTCTGTGAGTCAGGGGGCCAGGAGTGACTGAACTGGGGTTTCTGCTTCAGGGGTTCTCACATACTGTGGACAAGGTGTTCACCAACATGGTCATCATCTAAAGGCTCAACAGGGAAGTGATCCATTTGCTAGCCCACAGAGATGTTGGTTAGATTCAGTTCCTTGTGGGTTTTTAGACTGAAAAAATCTCAGTTCCTTACTTTCTCCCGACCAGAGAACACCCTATTCCCTTGTCAAGTAGACCTATCCACAGCCTAGTTCATGATATGGTAGTATGCTTCACCAAACTAGCAAGAGAGAGGCTATTGGCTACTCGGAAGTTAAAATCTTTTGTAATCTATTTATGGGAAATAGCAACTAAAAATCTTTCCCACATTCTATGGGTTAGAAGCAAGTTAATTGGCCAGCACATGCTCAAAGCAAGGGAATTAGGCAAGGGTGTGCTTACCTCATGATTGAATTCAGCTTAAAGTGAGTCCACCACATTACAACAAGAGGAAAACCATAAGTACCAGAAGTAACTATGATTGATACATAGGTCTAACTACAACTCCTAAGTCACTTTTCACTTATTTGCTACTACTTATATGAGTAATAGCATTGCTTATGCATATAAACTTCAGTAAAGAAAACATAAAGTGTTTGCGTGTTGTGACTACTGCTATTCCCACACTATTATATACTCATACTCATACTGTACTTTGGATTGTTTAAAAGTAAAAAGAGGGAACTTATGATTCAGGGTTATGGGAAGGAATTGAATTGAAATAAGCTCAGAGCTCTTAGGAAAATGTATGCATGACATGAGTGTCTACATAAAAACTTTAAATTTTGCCACAGGAGAGGAAGCCATTGGAGGTTTTAAACAGGAGAATACCTGATTCATATTTGAGATATCTTTTTTTTTCTTTTATTAGTCTATTTTCTCTCTAATGTTCAGATTGAGTAAATCATATTAATCTGTCTTCAATTTTACCAATTTTATCGTCTGCTATTTTTAACAGGCTGGCATTTGACTCAAGTAGGGCAGGCATTGAGCCCACCCAGAAAGCTTTTAATTCAATTATAGTAGTTTTGCCCCTACAATTTCCATGTTTACACTAGTATTTCTTTGCTAATATATTCTATTTACTTGTTTCAAGAGAAACTGTTATTGCTTGTCAACACATTCTTATGATGGCTTATATCAAATCATTCCAGCATCTAATGCACCTTGGCGTTCCATCTGTTGATTTCTCATTTAAGTTGTGATTTGATAGTATGATTTCTGATTTTCATTTTTAGTTGTTTTCTTGATATTTTGGATATTATATGATTCTAGATTCTATTAAATTTTCTTGTTTAGCAAACATGTACCTTGTCGAGATGTAGTACAAAGGTTGGATGGTTATGCATGCTTAGTTTTCTGTTGGGTCCTGCGCAACATCATCCCAACAAAGTAAAGCACCAACTTACACCACCTGGTTGCAGGAGTGGGGTAGTTCAGTTCTCCCTGTTCATGCATGTTGACAGATTTGTAGTGAAAGTGGGTAACCACGAGCTCTGTTTCCTTGCATCTGAGTGGGGTTATTAGCTCAGTTCCCTGTTTAGCACTGCTGAAAACACGGAGGGGGTGAGCAGAGGATTGAGTCACACCACTTTGTTGTCGCACGATCTGGCAGTAGTTCAGCTCCTTAATCACCCTGGTGATACCTGGGATGGGGGATAATGAAGTCATTCAGTCTCACTGCCAGATGGGAGGAGAGGTTTAGTTTGCCACTGAACTCCACTGATACTACCTAACAGGAAAATTGGAGCAATGCTTACTTCTTTAGAAAAGATCACAATCACTTACTGCCTCACCAGCACTACCCCAGTAGGAGAATCAAAGTACCAACTACTTCCACTGAGTGGGAGTTGGAAGATCAGCTCCCTACTCCATCGCACCATTGGCAAAAGAATGGGAGCACCACTCCATTCCATGGGGCAGAGAATGAAAGAGCAGCTTCCTATTGGCCCTATTGAAACCACAGGAATGCATTATTGGTATTTGATAAAGTAGGGCAGGTATTGACAAAAAGATTTTCTGTTGTTAGACTATCCTTTCCTTACTCTTTGGCTATGGCAACAGGCTTCTCTTGGAGCTTTTCCCACCCCCCTGTGTCTGTTGGCAGGTCCAGTTTGGAGGATATAGAACATATGAAAAGCAGTAAAGTCAGGAGACCATTGCAATGTCCTTTCTTAAAACCTGAGAGCCCTAGATTATCTGCCTTCTTTACACCATTACAGAAACTTTGCATGCTTGTTTGTCGTGTTAGCTCCAGGATGTTTTAGTTGTAAAAAGGACACTGGAAGGAATGGAACTACCCCATCTTGAGATGATCCATTGTTAAATGATTATTATAAAAAACAAAACAAAATGTAAAATAATAGTTTAAGGAAATTAATTATAGCAATTTGAATATGGAGACAAGAGTAGGTGTTATTGGAAATCATTTTCAATGTGATTTACTTTTTGGTTTGATGTAATAATTGGCATTGTGGCTGTATAAAAGGAATTATTGTATTTGTTTCTAAAAAAATTGTTTTAGACTTCTGTATATAAAGTGCAATTAAATTTGATCAGAAATTCCTCCACTCTGACAGAGTTCTTACTGTACCATATATCACAACATATATTAAAGAAGGTACATATCTTGTAAAAAGGATTGCCCTAGCTCAATCCAATTTATTTGCAATATCAAATCTGTGAAGAATTCTTGGGCCTCCCTGGTGATGCAGCGGGTTGAGCACAGCACTGTGAAGTTGTCTGCAGCCTCTGCAGCACCGGTTCGATTCCCAGCCAGCCAGGGAGATACCCACATGGCGCGGCAGACATCTCCTGTCTTGCCCGCTGCTCCCCTCAGCAGTGTTTTTGGTCCATCTGCCTGTTCTGTTCCCCACTGTCTCTGGTACCCCAGTTTTTATATAAATAAATAAAACTTAAAAAAATTCTTTATGCATAAATCCAATCCCTTAATAACTGATGAGTATGGAATTGAAGATGTTTTACCAATGGCCCAAATTTATATAGGAATTTGTAAGTAAAGAAAAATGGAGCTCAGTGAACAAAAATCAAGAACTTTTTGTTTTATATTCACTATACCTGTTTCAGAATAGAATTTATTTTCCAGAGCAGGAATCATCCCCCACCAAAAGCAAATCTCTAAAGCAGAAGAGGCACCCAGAGTCATTTTTTCTTTTCATTTCCTAATAAAATAGCAGGCCAGCGTGATCACTAGAGGGCACAGCTGGGTTGCTCCAGGCGTGGGGATACAGGGAATTTCTCCAATTTTATATCTACAAGGAGTTTATACTTCATTCACTTCACCTTTGACATGCAATGCATAAATGAGTTCATTTCCAAGAAGATACAAAGCCTTGCTGATAAAGATGACTTAACAAAGGGGAAATGCCATCTGTACATTAAAACATTCTCTTTTCTAGATTCCAACATCACTGAGATTTTTCTCTGGTTCTCAGGTTATATCTATAAGGTTGCAGCATTTAAATTGGGACAATAAGTATACCCACCTTTGATTTCTATTTCACTGTCAAGAAACCCCTTTGCTTTTCACAACTTCTAGCCAGCACTGCAGACTGCTGTGCTGACATTTTCTCCCTGACAACTTTCCATTTATTTTATCCTTCAACTTTCTATTGGCAATTAATCTTGAAGAACTTTTTTTAACAAGATATCCTCAGTAACTCAGAGCGATTGCTTCTATGCCAACTGTCACCACTGAATAATGGAGTTTTGAACTAAAATTCTGTTGAAATTTCTCTTTTTAATTAGACATTCCTGCTGATGAAGCATTTGTGAGCCAGTGTTTTCTCTGTGACTACAACTGGGCTCAGAAGCTTATCATGTATGTGGAGAGTGGGATGAGGACAGGTCCACTGTCAATGCTATATAACCCACCTCCACCTGCCCAACACCTGTCCAAACCCACAGCCTCCACCCCCACACTTCTGTGCACATTTTTCTCTGATCCTTCTAAAAATAACAGCCCAAAACATGTTCTCAGCATCTGATAATGTAGGAGGGAGAGAAAAAAGTAAAAAATTAGGTACACATAATTATGTAACAGTCTAGTTAGGTAGACAAAGAATGAAACAGGAAAAAAATGTCAATAACAAAACTATTTCATTACTAATCAATTATCTAAAAGCCATGTATTCTAAAATCTGCAGAAGAACATCAACTGCAAATATCTTGCCTCACTGTCACTTATGTGTAAAAATAGACCTTAGCAGAGTTTTTAGCTATAATATCATTGAGGAATCTGAAGACTAGGATTACAATATGAGTTTTGTCAACAATTGTGTGTCTGTAGGCACTCAATTTCTCTGAACTCATCTGTAAAATGGGATGAACAGTGCCTACCCTTTAGAGTTAATATCAGGAATACATTTCCTGGGATAGCACACAGCAAGTGTTTAGTATACTAACGCTATTAGTATAAATATGTAATAGGTATACTTACAAACATGTATAAGTATAAATAAATAAATAAATAATGTATAGAAAGGATATTGCCCCTTTTTAGCAGTAAGGGTGCATGATCAGCAAAGTCTAGAAACCACTACAAGTACAGTCACATTACAGGTACTCATCAGTAGTGCAGTACCATCTTAGAATATTTTGCAGTGGTGGTGTGAATTAAGTGTAGTGGGAGCCCAGAGATATGTGATAAACCTTGACTGCCTTAAGTGTAATTGAGAATTTACCATCCAGGAAAATATGGGAAGAACATTTTAGGCAGCTACTGAGTTTGAGCCGAGACAAAGCTGTGCTGACTTATCAACACCTCACTTTGTAGTTGTGTGGCCTCAGTTTCTTCATGTTCATATATGGAAGTTCTACCACCTAATTCAGGTTGCTTGAGCCTAATTTTTTTTAATTAAATGACATGATGCATATTAGTTCAGTGCAATTCCCTTGTTCTAGGTCTCTTCTTTCCTCCTTGTCGCAGGAGGATGACCCAACTAGATTTCTCTGCATGTTTAGATGGGCAAAACATACTCTTTTGAATTCTTTTGCTATTGCTGCTTAAACATTTGTCTGTGGTTCTTGTTGAATGTTCAGCCCCTCATGACCACTCACTTTATGTGGGTTTACGGGATCTGCAGTCTACATACATGGACTTCTGACCCTCTGCTTGGCTCTGAGCTGTTACTAATTTTAGTGGACACTTTGTGTTTTGTGTACGTCTGCCTCTTTTCTCCCAACTCCCGGTAACAATGCCCTGGTTTCTTTGGACAACCCACCCATTTCTCATTCCACCCATATGATTCCAGGGACTTGGGTCAGTGACGGCAACCCAACCTTGCAGGAGCAATCAGATCCAAGATAGAACACACCGTGAGCCGGGCCCCAGGCTTTTACTGAAACTTGGCAGAAGAGACTTCTCTTTCTTCCAGATGTGTAGTCTCATTTGCCAGAGGCCACAACTAAAAAAATACCTAGCCGAGGATGAAATCAGGATAGTAAAGCATAATCAAAAGTAAGAAGAAAATTGTTTTGGGCCTCCCTGGTGGTGCAAGGGGTTAAGCACTGCACTATGAAGCAATCCACAGCCTCTGCAGCATGAGTTCGATCCCTGGTAGCCAGGGAGCAACCCACATGGCGAAGCAGATCTCTCCTGTCTTGCCCACTGCTCCCCTCAGCAGTGTGTTTCTGTCAGTCTGCCTGTTCTGTTCCCCACTCTATCTCTGGTGAATCCTCTCACTACCCCCCCCATCTCTGGCCTGTACCCCAGCTCTTGTATGCATAAATAAATTAATCTTTAAAAAAAAAAAAGAAAATCATTTTCTGAGGATTCTATTGCACACCTGGATACAACAATACCTGAAGCTAATCTATCTACTCCTGAAACTTTCCAGATGTAGGCCAATACATGCTTTTTCCTTAAGCCTGGTTTTGGATTTCTGTCACTGTAACTGAAAGAGTCTTGATACCATAGAAGTTTTTCAGCCAATCCAGAATTCCGTTTCACTTATTTTAGTGTTGGCTGCCTCCGTAGACCATATTTCCAGCTTCACTGACATCACTGACAACTGGCTTTATTATGAAGTACATAACAAGCCCACCTGCTTTCTCAGATCTGTACATGCATGGAATTGTGGCATAATACCTTGTGTTTATGGACTCTTTCCACACTCTGAGGCTTGTGGTAAATTGAATCCACCACGTCCCTACTTTTTTGAATGACACTGCCTTTCATCACATCCTCTCTGATCTTAAAGCTGCTACAACTACCAATAGTAATGGAAAGAATAGTAACTACTATTTACTTAGCATCTACTGAGTACAAGGCTTTGGTGGGATACATTTGGTGGGATACATTTGGTGGGCAGCAACTATTATTTGAAAAAATAAAGGGGAATAGAATGAAGTAGATTAGCAATAGAAAGGAGTGGTACAGAAAATATCAGAATCTATCCAAGGTAGTAAAAATAATTTTTCTCTGCATTTACATTGTGTCTGTGTGTGTGAGTACTGATTGCAATATGAAACATTTTTTAGTGTGGATAATGATGAAAACAGTAACTGGCCAAGGTCACATAGTGAGTGAGTAACCAAGCCAGCTCTAAATCCAACCTGTGGCTACCAGCTGACTACCTCAATGATATGCCATCTGTATACCAAGAAATGAAGTTAAGTGCT